CAGCACTCTGCCTTCAGCCCACACATTGTGTTTTTTGGCACGATCCTGGCAATTAAAAAAAATAAACAGCTCTTTTTAATATTTTTTATACATAAGCTATTACAGTCAGCGCTGACACAGCTGGCAGAGAAACTCAGTGAAAGGTAAACATTCTGCTCAAAATGCAATCCAACATATTGTTGCGTTTAGTTGTTAAAATGTAATTTTCGTGAAAGAATATTTTAAAAGTAAGTTTAATTTTTTATTTTTTTACAGAATTTCTAGTATTTTGATATCTGATTAAAAAAAAATCATAACCTTTTAAAGCAATGGCACTTGTGACACTGGATATTTCAGTCAACAACTTATTGAATTTTTAAAAATATTCTGAACAAAAATCAGGAACAAAAATTAGGTGTGTGATGCTTTATCCTTCAGCAGAATGTAATAGTCTGCGCTAGTAAAATCAATTTCTTTTAATAGAATTCTGTCAAAAGCAGGAAGTTCAGTAATAAATGTCTTCAACTGTTTAAAGGGAAGAAAACTTCCAGTAGAATTAAGATTAGTTTGTGACTTGCTTTTTGTTGCTCGACCTAATTACTACGAGCACGTATGAAGTGAGATATGGAATGATACGTATTTCACTAGAAAAGACACATGAAGGTAAGGGACATAGGTAAATAATTATCTGTCACCCATGTCCAGAAGTTCTAAAGGTACTTTTATTTTTAAAAAACATGACTTTGTGTGGTGGCTTACGATGAAGATGCTGTACTTCCAACATTTTACTCCCTGTTGGAGACAAATGCAGAGGCAGCCAAGCAGAGCTGGGTGCATGCAGGGTTCTGCTGCTCTTTATAAGGCTTGGGAGGTTTCTTAGCAAAAGCTGGGTGGTGCCTGTGTGCTGCAAACCCCACCTCTGCTCCAAACCGTGCCCTGGTGTTCATGGGACAGCTCAGTGGGAGGTGTGTGTAAGCAAACAAATGCAGGAAGCACCCAGTGGAACTGTTGAGGAAGCTTGTGGACATATTATAGCTACATATGCTCCATGTTGTGTGACAGGTCAGCAGGAATTGAGAGTCCTGGTTGACATTTGCTCACCTGATGTGTAAGAATGTGAGATGTGCTGGTTTGTGCTGCCTGGACAATGGAAGTGTCCACCATAACTGGTGTCCCTATCAGCTTGCCTTTAATTATGTTTAAAAGGAATTTCTTTAAAGATCCACCTTTTCCTTTCACTGATTACCGGTGTATATCCTTGGAATCAGGGTCTCCCAACTCCCAGTTGCTTCTCCTTCTCTCAGACTGAATTATAAAAATATCAGGTATGCTGCAAAAATAGGTTTCTGCCCTTTTATAATCCAGTAAATTGCCCTCTGGCTGCAAAGTTGGAGTATATGGATTTATATTTGTAAGAACAACTGAACATTCATTTTCAATGTGTATAACATGAGGTGAAGAGAAACATTTAAAGTTTAGAGCAACCTTCAGTAGAGAAGAAAATTATTTGGTGACTCCTATTGTTGATCTTGGAATGTGTTTCAGATGTTAGGTGTGGACTTCATATCACCCTCGGGGCAGTTAATAACAGCTAAAGGAGCATTATCTGCTGAAGTCAGTGGAGTGTGAATCCAGAGGCGTTGTTGTCTTTGTCTTGTCACAAGAGAAATTCAAAATAATTGTGCAGAAGGAGTGCAACAGAAGCATTCTGTGGTCTGGTTCTCCAGTCATTCTGATCTGTTACACCAGCAAATTTGTGGCCAGGACAATTGTGAACTAAAGTTGTGCTCTCTGATTAGGACAAATAGATTTTAATTACATAGAAATTTCTTTGCAGCGAAGATACAATTAAACGAAGAAGAAAACCTTTAGGCAAGTGGTAATCCTGGAGTTGTTGTGTAACTAGACTTTCAACAACTGTGCTCTCTCTCTTCATGGAGATGATCATACCTGGCATCGTATGATCAAAAAAACCCCAAAAGATTAGAAGAGTGATGTATTTATTTCACGTGAAGTTTTCTATTGATTCCCTTATCTGAATGGATATGCCCCACACAGCTGTCCCAATGGGCATGTTGGTGGATTTGAGAAGAGTCATATGCTCCTGACTGGGGCCAGGGTCTTGCTGTTCTTACTGAATTTCAGAGCAAACTCCTTCCCAAATGCAAACCCCAAACAAATGATGACTAAATTATTTGTATCAGTCTGTTGTGCTACAGACCCTGCAGGACCTGGACAAATGAAAGTTTCACATGCCCCTATCTGCTGTTGGCAGTACATTTGGTTCAGGCTTTCAGAGTCATTGAAACATGTTTGTCTGCTCTCTGCTGGTGTTCTTAAGAGCCCACACAGGCCACAGGGAAAGGTCATCTATGGTGGGAACAGTCCTGATGGGCAGATCAGCTGTACCTCCTCCTTGATACTTCCTGCTGAGCAAGGTGGAGCTCCCTGTAGGGCTGCCCATGATGGACAGCAGGCTGTGCTTTTCAAGTCTAGCCCAAAGTCAACAGGAAAGGAAGTCCTATGCAATGAAAAAATTTAAGTCTTCTTTAATATACAGCAGTGTGATGATTTTTGTTATTATTATTATTATGGACTCTGAATTAGACCCGTGTGAAATGAAGTTGTAGATGTTAAATGCAAAAATATCTGAGATGATGTTATGGCCATTTGATACAAAAGGGGTGGCAGGGTAACAAAAGAGGGAAAATGAAGGAGACTGATGTTTGTTTAATAGAAAAAGGCAGCATCTGCAGGGAAAAAATTATAATCCTAAGGTTTTTTTAAGACTATTACAAAGAATAGAGAATAAAAATAGGGGAAGCTGGAAAATGAATAAAGTCTATAAACATTAATTCATAGCCTGTTTTTTTGAAGTATATGACATTTTTTTTCCACAAACTCACTAATAGGGTTCTAAATATGAGTGAGAATAGCAAATTGCTTTTTACATCTCTGGGATCTATAGTTTCACCTCTACACTTGAATAAAAACATTAACCAAGAGGCAGATACTTATTTCTTTTGTTTATGCTCAGCCTCAGGAATTTTTCAGCTGAAATCAATAATTAAAATGTTTATTAGCCATGGTAAGTGTTATAAATGAAACTTTGTTAAACACCGATTATCTTGGATAATGGAGATATTTATGTCCAGATTTTTTAGCCAAGTAACAGAATTTGAGAGGAGAGACAATGTATAACTTCATATTTACTCTGTAGATACTGTATTCACTGAGGAGATTCAAACACTTTGGTATCTTTTCATTTTCTTTACACAACAGAAAGCAGTGGTTGGTTCTTAAGAAACAGATTCACATGGGGTTTATTTCAAGTGTTAAAGAAAGCATGGAGTTTAACATAACAGTTTCTAAAAGATAACAGAATAAATGGTTTTAGAAAGTAGAACTCCTGATGCACCCAGAATACATCTCCAATTAATAAAAAACGCTTATAATACCTACTTGAGAGGACATATGTAGTTTTATTTGTGCATATTGAGTGAGACAATTTGGGTGTGTATTTGAAAAGAGAAAATGAGAGTTTGAGTACATGCTTTGAACAGGAGAGGGATCATGTGCCCATACACAGTACTCTGCTGTAGAGGGACAGAGGTTCAATAGACCCACACTTCTGTTCCTACTCTTCCCATGGCACTCTGGGCAGGAATAGTTTGATTGATAAGGAATGAAAACATGGTTCATGATTGTTAGGCTCTTGGGATTGTAACACTGAGTATAGTGAAGTAAGCCTAAAGCTTTTGGAAGCTGGAACAGCTTTTTGTAAATATCCACAGAAATATTAGTCTGATGGGATTTTTTTTTTTTCAAATTTCCCTTAAGAATTCCATGATATTAGTTATTTTCCTCTTTCTGATTTCTCTGGGTATCTGTAGCTCTGAAGTGGAGCTGCACATCCAGCTGGCAAGGTGCTGGCATGGGAGTGCCACTGCTCCAGCAGCTGCTGCTGTCCTTTGCTTTCAGCAGCAGTTGCTTGGTGAGAGCCAGTCAAACTCTGCTGGGCTTTTCCTCCCAACCACAGAACCTAATCTGTGAAGCAAAATAGTTCAAAATGCTATGTTGCCCAGTTCCTCTTCTCCTTACACCAGTGGTACTAGCTTGAAGTACTTCATCCTCACAGGCATCTCTATTTTTCACTCCATAGCTTTTATAGTAAAATGCTGTAATTTAATGAACATATGAAGTGCTTTTCTTTTCTGAATATCTCCTTGAAGAAACGTCTGCTGTGATACCACAAGAAGTCACTTACACACAGAGGTAACCAGGGTTCTGTGATAGTCAAAATCAAAGGTGGAGATTTTTGTTAAAACCTTTCAGATTATTTTGGAATCACTAAACTGTGAAATAGCTATTTTGTTAGCTTAGAAGTTTTTCTACATGTAACATTTATTCCTCTTCATCATTCCTTGTGTTTGCTTCTCATAGCTATTTGTTGCATCTTGCTTCAGATGAAAGTGCAGACTCTGAATAAGCCTCAAATCTTCTTGCTCACTGACCTAGCACAGTGAAGGCAATGCAACATCCACATCACTGCAAATAGTAATCAGCCCCCTCAAAGAAGGCATAGATAAACAACACCCATCTCAGTGTGAGCAGTCACCAGGCATAGGTGTGGTTCATACTGTTGTCCAGCATATATCTTAGGAATCATACTCTGTTGACTGTACTTTTAATATGCATTTCTTAGAATAAAGCTATTATCCTGTAAGCCAGATTAATGTGTCCACATTTTAAAAGGAAATTATTTATTTGGATTTAAACACTCTGTTTTGTGTTTCCAAGAGTGGAGAAAATTGAGTCTAATAGGAAACCCATTATTATGTATCTGGTGTAATAAGCACTAACAACAAATTTCTAAAGGCTATCCAGAAGTTGCTGCTATGTACCCTCCATTTTGTTCTCATTTATGGCACTGATAGTACAAACAAAGCCCTTACAACTCCATGAGTGGGCTTCCTCTGAGTTGTGATCAGAGCTGACCTTATGTTTGTATTGATAGTAACCTGTCAAAGTTTCTCGCTGACAAGGGGCTCCTCCAAGTTTTGTGAAGGACTGGAGGACTGGAAGTCCACTGTACTTCTGCAGTCCAAGGCACTCTGTAGTCATGGAAGAACAAGGTTATGATTTTTGTGTGTTCGTCATTTAGTTGCCAAAACATTTGTCCACAATGAAGAAAAAATATTCATACTGTATGGAGGCTATGGGATGAGTGTCATTTAAAATACTTATCCCCTCTTTTTTATCTCAGCTGTAAAGAACAGGGTTAGGGTAGCAAAGGGAAGTGCAAGGCTGGTAGACTCAGCTGTATTTTCAGAATACTGGATATATTGTATGCAGCCTGGCATACAAGCAAAAACAAACAGAGAAAAGCAGACACTCTAATTAATAATTCTCAGCTAAAGGAAAAAAGCATGTCTGCAAGATAGGAAGGATACTGAGCTCCTGCTCTGCCAGATGGGAAAAAAGATGAGTTTTGAATCTGCCATGGCTTTCCACATTTGGCTTGAAAAGTGCAAAGCTGTGTGTGAAGCAGCTAGTTTGCCTGTGCCTTCCCAAGCCAGTCTCTTTTGACCCTGCTCAAAAAGGAAATAAATTATTTAAATGAGAATAAGCAAATAGGACCTCGAAAATATGGTCAACCACCCCTATATGTTAGTCTAACTATATAATAAATATCACAGGAACTCATTAGGAAAGAAAGTTTTAAGTTTGTTTTTTTTCTGCCTTGGTACAAACCCTGAGTGAGAGAAGGTTAATCCTTAACATGGATGCCTACTCTTGAGATACTGTGGTAGGAAGTAGCTCCTTCCAGCCTAATTTAATCTAGATTAGCCCACAGGGACCTCTGTGCCCACAGAGCTGAACATTCCTCATCCAGCAGAACTCAGTAAAGGGGGGAGTATTCCACACAGGGCACTGGTCAGGGCTGGGACTTTTCAGTACTACAGTAATACAAATAATCCATTATATTAGGAGGCTTTGAAAGAGGAATGTTTGACTGTATGGAGCAAGTAATGGTGTTTGATGTACCTCCAAGGTGGCAGTCAGTGGGTGAGCCTTGCAAAACTCAGCTGCTTCTCTCAGCAAGTTTCCGCCTTGTAAACAGTGCCTTTGTTTTCTGTCTATGTGGGCTCTGATGCCTTAGGTTCCCTTTGATGTATGAATGAATCCGGTGCTTCACAACAAAACTCAAACTAGACCTGGAAAAGCACAGAGGGAGAGAAGAAAGAAGGGAAAGGGAAAAGGTAGTTTTAAATATCCACATTACTAAAGCTGGTGAAATGATGTGTGTACTGACAGGATGATTGTGTATTTGCTCTTTGTGGCCATTTGGGGCAGTTGAGGCTTGTGGATGTACTTGAGGTTGCATGAGTGGTTTTCTGTTTGCTGGCACCTATGTGTATGTAAGGAGTTCAGAGACAGAATTTGTTTACTCAAAGCATCTGTCAAATCACTTAATGCAGCAACTAATTCAGGTGAAAAGAGTAACCTGGTCTTGGACAAACTGCAAGCAGACAAATGGGCCAAAAACCAGGCTGCTGTGGCTTGTGTATGGGAGAAACAACCTGTCCTCTCTTGATGGGGCAGAAGGATGCTTCTTTCTTTGCACCTGTTCGTCCCATGGCTCTTGATCTCTAAGGATCATTTAACTGTCCGGTTATTCCATACAGAAATGGAAAAGAGGGGATTTGCCCTGTCTTGCTATTGCATGTCTGTCTGTGTGAGGGAGATGAGGCTCTTCCCCCTGTTCAGAGTCTGCCACACAGGACAGCATGCAGGACAAGCTGACCTTCTCCTTTACATCTCAGAGCTGTGAAACAGAGCCCAGCTACACTGGCCCTCCGTTTGTCTAATACAGTTGTGTACTATAAATGGATCAGCCAGTTGTGACTGGAACCACAATCCTCAAAAAACCTTTCGACAAATCTGGTTTGAGTTTCAAGTTGCAGTGAAATATGAGACGAGGTGCGTTTTATATGGTTTCAGGTTTTGTTGAAAACCTTTCAACTAGTTCTAGTCAGTAGCTGTTGCTTTTTCAGTTCCCTCCTTCTAACGTGTCTGTGGTATTTCTAGTTGAATGTGCCTCAGAATAAGCGCAGTTAGGAGAAGGGGTAGAAATACAGCCCCTAAATTTGACTCAACTCAGAGGGAACTGAGAAAGAGTGAGGAGGATGCCCTTTCCTTATTAAATTCCTCTTTTGGTCTAGTGGAACTTTACCAAAACTTCATTTTTGTACGGAGATTTTTGGACTGCTTAGCTAGCTGTGATAATAGCACTATAGATCACCTCCTAACTGGCTGGGGCAAGTGGAAAAGGAGCCCTGCAGACTCTGTTTGGCAGGTGGACAGGAGACCTGGAGAAGCAGTCAGATTCCCAGCTGGCTCATGGCGCTCACAGCCGGGAAAGCAGTCTGCATGCTGCCTGCCACGGAGCTGGGAGGCGAGGAGGGGCTCGGCTTCCCAGCTGGCAAGGGGAGCACAGGCCTGGAGAAGTGGGCTGCTTTCTGTTTGGCTTCGCAGGTTGAGCGAGAGGCCAAGAAATGAGGTTCAGTTCCCATTAGCCTGTCTGGTTCTTGATTTGCTTCCTTTAGTTAAAAGAGGCAGAGAATACTGATGATGTTTTGCCAGGCACAGGATTGAAGCTGAGTGGCATGGAAGAATAGAGACTTAAATAAGCACAGCTCGCTGTCTCCACTTCCTTTTGTCAGTCCGTGTAACAACCTTGCTGCCAGCAACCTTCCTTGCAAAACAGAGGAAAAACCCGGGGTCACTGGGAGGTGATTGTGCAGTTCTACGTGTGGTACTTAAGGTTGTTTTAAATTATTACAGAACCATTTATATTGTTAGCCTAAACAGTGTATTGATGGTTTAAATATTTAGGAAAAGATTAGTATTTAGTGATTCCTTCCCAGGTATATTGGAAAATATATTTAATGGTTCATCTGTTAAAAGGTTGTTTAAATACATCATGAGTATTTTACGTGCAGACAATTGAAGTTTCATCTCCTCTGAAAACATATTTTTAGTATATTAGTTCTTTTTAATATGCAGTACTTAGGAGAAAGACAACAATAGATCTTCTGTTAATATGTGGCTAGCACCATTGTAAAACCTGATTGTTAATTTTTTCCCCTCATTGCCTTTAGTTATTCCTTTGGAATTTGTGGTCTGTTTTTTAAAAATCAGTCCTGATTTCTGTGCCAGTCTTCACTGGAGTTTGTAATAACATACTGTAATTTAGGCAGCTCTGTGAGGTCCCATGTGTAAAGTTATCTGTGTAGTGCCTGCATGATCAGAATCCAAGGCAGTCCCATTTTCACTGAGTGCAAGATATTAACATTTTAAAATTACTTCAGATCCACAATTCAGTAGAAACCAGCGGAACCTGGACTTCAGGGCTCCCTGCACTGCAGGCAGTAGCACATCTGTTCCCTCACTTGTAACATAGTGCTAATAGCCAGGGCTCTGGCAGCACATACTTCAGCTGAGAAGCACCCAAAGCTTTTGGAAGGTATGAGCAGCCTGGGCTGAAGTTTGAGCTGGTACAGCTTCCCCTCTTGGTGGACGAGTTGGCCAGTGAGTGTCATCCCGTGCATTTACAGGTGCAGCTTTGCATATGCACGTGGTGCAGTGTAGAGACAGCATGAGTTGCTTTGGAGTTTTTACTACAGATTTTGCACGTAACATCCGTACCTGTACACAGCCAGTGCTCTTTTTTTATTTGAATGCCCTCTATAGTCAGCATACTTTGAAACTCGTCTCCCACTCTCATCACATCACAGCCATGAATTACCTCACAGATACAGTGACTTAGTGGGGCATTCCTAGTCTATCAGCACATCTTGAGAATTGTGTGTAACTAAGGATGTCTCCAGGGTGCAACACAGGGTTCCATGGAAGTGTGCTAGGGTACACAGATAACTTTACACATGGGACTTCACAGTTCAGGTACTGCAAGCAGTATGACCAGCTTTCTCTGGCAGTCCCTCTGGATTCATTATTTCATGTTATTACTGATCTGTGGGTCCTGAGTGGGCTACCAGACCCTCATCTTGGGGGATGAGTCACTGGTGAGAAGCTCTGAATCTTTTCATCAAACCCTAGTGTCTTGAAGCAGTTTATCAAGGAAAGCTGCTCATCCAGGTAGTACCTTCTGAGCTATGGAGGGGTATTGCAGAGTGCTCCAAACATAGCACTGTACTTGGCTAAGCAGAAACAACAGAAGGGTAATGTACTCATGACTAAGTTATGAGTAGAAGGCCCAGTAATGAGGGTAAGCTACACTCCAGAACAGGCACTCTCGAGCCTTCACTGACCCTCATCAGTGTGTTTTTATTGAAACACTCAACATCCGTGAGGTACACAAGCAACCTGCACTTTGAAAGCACTTGAAAACCTTTTTTCAGGAAGTCAGCTCCAATGACATTAGAGGAGAGAAGAATGCATTACCCTGCATTCACTCCACTGGGAACCAGTGTCCTTGCAACACAAACAGAGAACAAGAGATTCCAGGGGAATTTATTCACCAGGTTCACGCCTTGTACCCCAAGCTGGACTCCCCCATTCCCTCGGGGAAAATGGGTTTGTAAAGCTCAGCACATTCTCAGTGCTGAGAGAAGCTCAGCACATTCTCAGTGCACAGCTCACTTGCATAAGGAAACATGTATTTGGCCTGTCTTTACTGTCGCAAAATTCCACTTTTTCCATAATCACTTTTAATCATAGTACTTGTAAGTTGCTTCATTTTACTTTTTTTAATAACAGTTGATTGCCACGTTATATAGGCAATAACCTATAAACTGGAATTGCTTTGCACTCATAAAGGCTTAAAATAGCAAGTCTAATTTGTTTATTAAAAAGTGATAAAAAAAAGACAATGCCCCATGCTGAGACTTTGTAAACCACCTTTCATTCTATAGTACATCTTTATAGCTGTGTTATAAACCCCTCGTAAATGGGGTTTGTAGTAAAAGTGCTGACACAACTTTAACTATAGAATCTTGAACAGCAGCAATGCAATAAAAGATCAAACTGTAATGCTAGAGTAAAAAGAAAGAATCATGATATGCAAAAAAAAAAGTTTGTAGGAGTAATGGAACCTGATACTAAGATACTAAATATGGACAAAAGAAATAATCTGCCAAAGTTTTAAACCAGTCCTTGGAACATTTATGATTTGAGTTTTGGGCTGTTGGTATGTATTCATTGGGTCCAGAGAACTGCTAAAGCTCAGCTCACTCTAGTGGGCTTCTGTTGCCCCATTCTGGCATGGACTGTGCATGAACAGCAGTGGGTTTGCACTGAGGAATCAGTAAACTGGTGACCTGAGAGAACTGTGCTTCTGGAAGGGGTCTTTAGTGAACCAAGTCAGGTGTAAGATGTTCCTGCAGCAACACAAGCTGGTTGCTGTCCATCCGTGTTCTCGACAGCAGCTAAACCAGCATCCAAGTCAATAGCAGTTGTTTGTGTTATAAGAGAATCCTTCTGGGGTACCATATGCCAAACAAATTTTTACTATTGCTTCTTCTTTGTTGTATTAAAGGTCTGTGAATTAGTGAGATTCATGAGGAAAATGATGAGTTTAGCCAAAGAAGGTTACATAGTAACTGTGCATTTTAATGGAAATGGCTGGGGGGCACCTTTGGAAGGGTTCTGACTATGTCAAGTCACTTTGTTGTTGTTCAGCTTGGATGTACCTGTAACATAGTTTACCTCACGCAACTGAAAATCAATTTGTTCTCTCAATTCTAAGCTACCTCTCAAATTAAGCCCTATAAAACATTTCAAATAGAACAAAGAAAGCTGGCTGAAATAATATTTCATCTTCTGAAATAAGGGTTTGTCAAAGCCAGTCGCATTACATGTGGCCAAGGAGAACACTGCTCATTTGAAAGGCTATTGAGAATCTGAGAGCTCATAAGTTCAAGTCCATCTGCTGCAGACTTCATGCACTACTAGCTATTACAGTAGCTTGACAATAATCTCAGCATCATCTTTTATTCCAGTCACAAAGGGCTGTCAAAAACCAAATAGTAAGAATTACTATAAACAGCAATGATTCAGTCTCAATGGCAATGGCTCTCTATATCCTAGCAATGTAATCTACTGCTCTACCCTTAAATTGGATATAGCATATGAAGTCCGTCAGCCATGCAGAAAGTGAAAATGTATATTGTCAAGGCCTTTGCTGTCTGTGAAACTGCTGATGAAGAGTCACAAAAGGAGTTTTAAATGCCCTAGAAGAAATTCCAAGTAACATTAAAGTCACAAATAGCAAATTTGACAACTCCCTCTGGACTAAGAAAGTGCCTTCAAAAATTTTATATTAGCTTCATGCATCATTGTTATAATTTATTAATGTACAGTTTTTTGTTTTTCAGACTGCATGGCTGGGGAATAGTAACTGTAACTTCTTTTTCATGATAAACAGCTGTTGAAAGATTTGCCAATATTCCCTCCTCTTATAATTCAAAAATGCATGCATTGCTTTTCATATTTCTGTTTCCCCAAAAGCATAATAAGATACTATATTTATGATTTAATCGATGAAACCTGTTCTCTGTAGATATTACTACACTGTTTAGTTTGCTAATGTGCATATTTGCACCTAATCTATTAAAAAATCAAATATCATGGCTGCATTAGGGCATACACTGGGTAAAAGCCATCTTTAACACTTTGGCTTTTTCAGTATTCAGTAATTCTCTAGCAATTCCTATTCATCTTTGATTACAATCTCACAAGCTTGGAAGAAAGAAACAAAATTGATAGGCAGTAAAAATACAGAATTTTGAAAAGGTCACCTCCTAGCAGGATTAAAACTTTGAATCCACCTGCTCATTATAAGGAATGTACCAAACATGAAATGACGTAACTGGAATCTGTTCTTCCAGCAGTGGTTGGTTTGTATGACTACCAAATGCCATATACCATTCTAATGGCAGTCTGTGTGCAGAGAAATTTCTGCCCTGGCTGGGTATTGAATTTACCAATAGCTGATGCATGTGCTGTTCCGAGGAAGGACATTTTAGGTTGTCCAACCTGTGTAGCTGCTGAAATTTGCCATGCAGGTCTGTTCCTCCCAGCTCTAAGTGTCTGTCTTGATGTTGTGCATCTGAGTTTCTCCATGACACATATCTTCAGTGCCTGGAGGTGTATAGTGTGTGCTTGAACTTTTGTTCATCTCTGAGTAGCAAGACAACCAAAAGACCATGGTGTTTCTTCTATGAAATGTATTTTAATTATAGGATCCTTAATTTAACCGTACAACAAACTCAGTTCTGGAGATATTTGCCACGTTTCTTCAAAAGGAAAGTGTTTCTCAGTTAGAGGCCTGACTGAAGTACTTTAGATGTTCATTAAATGAAATTATCTTCTTAATATTTATTGTTGTCAAATTTTTCATTCGATCTTAAGCAACTCTCAGGGTAGATTCAGGCAAGGGGAAAATCTACAGTTTTCTATTAAATTCCAACCAGAGTATTGCAAAGGTGAGATAGTGCATGTGTCAGACTATTCCCACTAAACTCAATGACAAATTCTTGATTTTTTTTTTCATCTTTTGTGTACCAGTTATTATGAACAATCTGGTTTTTGGTAATAGTTATTTGAAATCCTTATCTCTGTTCCTGAAATAGAGTACTGTAACTGGCAATAGTTGATCCATGGTACAGTGTGATTTAGTTACTGATACAGAAATGTAACACTTTTCTGCTTCCTTGCATCACTGCACATAACACTTTCTGCTTCCTCTTGTGCCTCCCTCAAGAATGGATTCTTGCAACCCTTTACTTGTGTAAGGAAATTCAGGAGACAGCCCTGAGGATTCTGCATTACAAACACTGTTGTTTGTATACAAGCTCACATTGCCTTTAAAGGTGGAGTGAGATTTAACTGTATCAGAGAAGTGCTAGAGAAGAGGGCTTCAAAAGATAATTGAAGGAGAAATCAAGTCACTGCATAAGGAAATATGTAGTGGGATTGTCTGTAAAAGATGAAGAGAGTGACAGATATTTTCCATTATTTATGGTCTTGTTTTTAAATAGTTTTCATTTCATGACATCATTACAAAAAATGAAAGGGTGGAACAACCTCCAGTTTTTAGGCTTTGACACTAAGTTGTTGTTCTGTAAAAGCAATTAACTAATATTCCTATCCCCTGGCTGTTACAGCACGTATCATTACACTGATACTGGAGAACAAAGATAGAATTCATTTTGGCTTCTCTTCTGCCATAAATGAAACCATTCTAAATGTTTCAAAATGTTTGCCCAGTACCTTAGATCAGCACAGTAACCACAGCTATCTTAACAATTACCCAGGGACAGATAAACTAATGACACAAGCAAATGTTTGCTGTGTAGACATTTAGGCAATGGTACAAGTAAGTTATGATAAAGTAATATTATATATTGTTTTCATGGCACTGGCCTCAGGAATTGCTGTGTACCCTCCAACTCCAACCTCTATCTGCTCACTCACCCTAGTGCATCAGGTTCTACTCATTTGGAGTATACAGTCAAGACATACTGGCATTTCTAATCAGAGTTCGTGTTTGTTTACATGGGCCCAGTTTTGAGGTAATCCCATTGATTTCACTGGACCAACAGTGATGGGAACTGATTGAATCTCCCAGAAGTGTATCTTCAGATCAGGCCTTGGCAATGTGGTAAAGAAATCCTTTAGATCTATAGGATGTTGCATCCGTTCAGAGTGTCTGGGACCCAGCAAGTTTGGGATTTACTGAGAGATTAAAGTGAGTAAGTGGGAGAGGAAAGATACCACT